TTTCACCTTGGCCACCCCTCGGGGCAGCCTGAGCTGAACCACAGAATTCCAGAGTGGTTTGGGTTGGAAGGATCTGAGGAATGATCCAGTTCCACCCCTTTCCCACTGTCCCAAACCCATCCAGCCTGGCCTTGGGCACTCACAGGGATGCAGGGACAGCCCCAGCTCCTCTGGGATCCTGTGCCAGACCCCTCTGACCCTCCCAGGGAACAATCCCTGCCCCAAATCCCATCCAATACCTCAGCAGCACCTCAAAAAAGGCCAATCTCAGCCCATAAAGTTGTTTTCACATCCCTCTTCCAGCGGGATCTCGCTGGGCCTGAGGCTCACTCTCTGCCTGGGGCTGGAGCACAGCGAGCAGCAGCATTCCCACTGGGAATCTGCACTTTTCCAGCTTTAATTGGAATTAAATTGGCACAGGAGGGTGGGAAAGCCCTGGCTGAGGGGCTGGGCTGTCACACACGCTCCCCTGAGGACTCCAGAGTCCCTTTTCTGGCAGATTTAGCACCAAAGGATCAGCCCTCTTGCTGAATGTTGAATATTGGAGGAGTTCCCTGGGAAGGTGGGGCTGGGTTTGGAGTCTCCTCGTGGGGTTTCCATCGAGCCCCGCTGCTGCTGGGGGCTGAGTTTGTCTGCAAGTGCCCAGGCAGTGACAGGAAACCCCGAGAGGAGCTGAGGGGCTGCTTTGGCTGAGCTGATAAGTCAAAAAAAAAACCAGACAGAATAACACCAGAGCTAAAAATAGCATTTTGCTGCATAAACAGAGGATTCTGCTCCCCCCTGACCCCCAGCAGGTCAGGAGAAAGGGCTGAAGTGAAGGAATAACGAACTGGGAACGATTTTTAACATTCCCAGGGAAATCCTCCAGGTGAAATGAGGGGATTCACTTCCCTCCTCACTGGTCAGGATGAGCCACAAATCCCACAGGGGATGGGGCTGCTCCTGTTCAGCCAGCTCTGCTCCCCAGAAAATCCCTTAGGGAATTTCTGATCAGGGAATTCCTGACCAGGAAATTTCTGATCAGGGGATTTCTGACCAGGGAATTTCTGATCAGGGAATTTCTGATCAGGGGATGTCTGACCAGGGAATTTCTGATCAGGGAATTTCCCTTAGGGAATGTCTGATCAGGGAATTTCTGACCAGGGGATTTCTGATCAGGGAATTTCTGATCAGGGAATTTCTGACCAGGGGATTTCTGATCAGGGAATTTCTGATCAGGGAATTTCTGATCAGGTGAAATCCTCCAGGTGAAATGAGGTGATTCACTTCCCTCCTCACTGGTCAGGATGAGCCACAAATCCCACAGGGGATGGGGCTGCTCCTGTTCAGCCAGCTCTGCTCCCCAGAAAATCCCTTAGGGAATTTCTGATCAGGGAATTTCTGATCAGGGGATTTCTGATCAGGGAATTTCTGACCAGGGAATTTCTGACCAGGGAATTTCTAGGGATTTCTGACCAGGGAATTTCTGATCAGGGAATTTCCCTTAGGGAATGTCTGATCAGGGAATTTCTGATCAGGGAATTTCTGACCAGGGAATTTCTGATCAGGGAATTTCTGATCAGGGAATTTCTGATCAGGGAATTCCTGACCAGGGAATTTCTGATCAGGGAATTTCTGATCAGGGAATTTCTGACCAGGGGATTTCTGATCAGGGAATTTCTGATCAGGGAATTTCCCTTAGGGAATGTCTGATCAGGGAATTTCTGACCACAGGGGATGGGGCTGCTCCTGTTCAGCCAGCTCTGCTCCCCAGAAAATCCCTTAGGGAATTTCTGACCAGGGAATTCCTGATCAGGGGATTCCTGATCAGGGGATTTCTGATCAGGGGATTTCTGATCAGGGAATTCCTGATCAGGGAATTTCCCTTAGGGAATGTCTGACCAGGGAATTTCTGATTAGGGAATTTCTGATCAGGGAATTTCTGATCAGGGAATTTCCCTTAGGGAATTTCTGATCAGGGAATTCCTGACCAGGGAATTTCTGATCAGGACATTTCTGACCAGGGGATTTCTGATCAGGTGAAATCCTCCAGGTGAAATGAGGGGATTCACTTCCCTCCTCACTGGTCAGGATGAGCCACAAATCCCCCAGGGGATGGGGCTGCTCCTGTTCAGCCAGCTCTGCTCCCCAGAAAATCCCTAAGGAAGGAGAGAAACAGGGCAAGGAATGAGGGAATGTGAGTTTGGAAAACACAGAGCGTCCCACAAGGCTGAATCAAAGTCCTCCGTGGATAATGGAATTTATATTTATTTAACAGTAACATACAGTATATAAATAGGGTAAATACTTTAAAATATACAATATTTCACATTCGAACGTTCGGTCAAAGAAAGGCAACTCTACTTGTGCAGCTAAAACTGGAATCAAAAGAACAACGCACAGAGAAAGAAGCCAGGGGTGGGAGCAGGGCTGGAGATCAGGGATTGCACAGGGAGTGCACAGAGCTGCCACCCCAAACCTCCCATGGGCTGACCAGGGAATGTCTGACCAGGGAATGTCTGACCAGGGAATTCCCAATTTCTGACCAGGGAATTCCGAATTTCTGACCAGGGAATGTCTGACCAGGGAATTTCTGACCAGGGAATTTCTGACCAGGGAATTTCTAATTTCTGACCAGGGAATTTCTAATTTCTGACCAGGGAATTTCTGACCAGGGAATGTCTGACCAGGGAATTTCGAATTCCTGACCAGGGAATTTCAAATTTCTGACCAGGGAATTTCTAATTTCTGACCAGGGAATGTCTGATCAGGGAATTTCTAATTTCTGACCAGGGAATTTCTGATCAGAGAATTTCTAATTTCTGACCAGGGAATTTCTGATCAGGGAATTTCTGCCCAGGACATTTCTGCCCAGGACATTTCTGATCAGGGAATTTCTGACCAGGGAATTTTTGACCAGGGAATTTTTCTGACCAGGGAATTTCTAATTTCTGATCAGGAAATTTCTGACCAGGACATTTCTGATCAGAGCATTTCTGATCAGGCATTTTGAGGCATTTCTGCCCAGGACATTTCTGCCCAGGACATTTCTGCCCAGGGAAGCCACCCCCAGGCAGAGCTGCTGCTGCTCTCTCAGCTCCTCCGTGGAACAGCTTTGCCCTCCAGTGCCCAAATCCAGCATTTACACCCTCGGGAGAGGCCCAGACCTGCCCCAAACCACAGCCTGACCACAGCAGAAGAGGAACAAAAGGTTTAAAGCAGACTAAAGACCCACTGAAGAAACTGCTCACTACCAACAGAGTGATTTTTATCAACGCTGCCGCTCCTGCCTGGGACCCAGCAGCCACAAGAAGGGATTTTGGCAGTGGGCAGGAGAATCCAGAACAGCTGGTGCAGCCCCCAAACCCTGGCACTGCCACAGGAGCCTCGCTCTGCCTGGAAAAATTACATTTGGGCATTAAACACAGCCCAAATATCACCCCTGGGCAATGCCAGGTGGAAACTCCTCAGTTCTCTGCACTTTCTGTAGCAGGGACCAAAATTTGTTCCAACAGAAAATAAACCCCTGCCTAAAGAGAAAATAAACCCCTGCCTAAACAGAAAATAAACCCTGCCTAAACAGAAAATAAACCCCTGCCTAAAGAGAAAATAAACCCCTGCCTAACCAGAAAATAAACCCCTGCCTAAACAGAAAATAAACCCCTGCCTAAACAGAAAATAAACCCCTGCCTAACCAGAAAATAAACCCCTGCCTAAACAGAAAATAAACCCCTGCCTAAACTCACAACCTGGAAAAAAAAAATCTGTGTGAACACCAAACCCAAACCACCAGAATATGGGGTAAAAAATCTGAATTTGGGCTGTTTTCAGGTGGTTTGTTTTCTGTTGATGCCGAGGCAGCTCTCACATTTAGGCTGTGGCTGAGGGTTTGTGGCAGCTTGGAAAAACAGCGGTGCTGTGTCAGCTCTCCCTGTCACTCGTTCCCCAGGAGAAAATAAGGTAAAGTTTCTCTCTCCCATGCACAAAGTATGGAAAGAAGGAAAATCAGAGTCACCTCGTGTTTGGGAGCATTGCATGAGGTGTAAATGGGGATATTTTCACTATCTGATCACCAAAAAAAAAATAATATTTTACAATCTTTAGGGGGGTAATTTTTAAATAATAAAAAAAGTATGACAAAATAAAGGGAAATACTTCAATAAAACTTGCAGCTCTAAAGCTGAAACTATTTCTGACAAGATTCAGTGAGCCAAGCAGGACAGAAGCCTGCAGAGAAATGAACCCAGACTGAAATGCAACACAGACCATGGTAAACTCAGCAGCACGACTTGTACAAATCAAGTAACGAACAGACATGATCCCTGAAAGAAAACAAAACCCCCCAGCAACAAAACTGGCTGGAAACTGCTCCCCTGCTTCAAATATCCCACTGTGGGGTTTCCAGCCTTGGAGAAATGAAGTGTGGTTTGTAAAGGTTATTTAATGGGGGGGGGGGAAAAAAACAAACCAACTTTTAAATAAGTTGGAATTGCTGAGTGAAACTTCAACGCTCTCTAATAAAACTTACTTAGTTCCATCGGTTTTTGGAGGAATCTGAACCTCCCACATTCCCACACACAGCTGCCACTTCCTCAGCTCCTCGTCCCCAGCCTGTTTCTGGTTCAATTGGTTACAGAAATCTCGTTTTTCAAGGGGAGGGAGGGAACGTGAGAGGCTCTGCAGAGCCAGGGCTGGGTCAGTACAAAATCCTCTTCCTCGTGCAGGGAGATTCCCACAGGCAGGAACTGCTGGGATAATTCCCAGTGCACTCACAGCTGTGCCTGGAGAGGAGGGTGGTCCCCAGAGCTGTCCCCCTCCCCTGCCAAACCCACCCCCAGGGAAAGCTCCACACTCCCCCAGGGCTCATCACCCTCCACCAGGACAGTCCCACCCTCCTGCTCCACCCAACACTCCTTCCAATCCTCACCTCCTCAGCTACAAACCCAAGATTTTGCTCATTTGAACCAAAGCTCTATAAATATATCATTTAAAAAAAAAAATAAAATAAAATAAAATAATAAACCACAAATGCAAACATTTACCAAGAAAGGAAGAAAAGTTACAGTGAAACGAGGCCTTGTTATTGTCTTAGATCAGGCAAGGCAGGGATTCCCTGGAGGAGAACCTGTTCCCAGTCCTGTTGCAGGCAGCTCTACGCCTCCTCCAGGCTCCCCAGAACCCCCCTGTCCACCAGGTGTGCCTTGAGCGTGTTGAAGATGTGCAGCTGCTGCTCTGGCCTCAGGGTCAGGAACTGCTGGATCAGTTTGCTGGGGTTGGGGCCTCTGGAACACAAAAGCACGGTCAGAAGGGGGGATCCCACGGGAATCACGGGCTGAGGTTCACTGCTGCGCTGTCCAGTCCCTCCCCTGGCAGCCCAGCTCCGTTTGGGATGGGAAATGCACCCCAAAGGCACAGGAGGCTGGACTGTGAGCACAAAACACCCCAAACCAATTCCATCTGCACCTCATCAGCAGTGCTCCCCCAGCACGTCCTCTGTGCACCCATGTGGCTCTGGAAACCTGTCCAGGATTCCTGCAGGGGTTCAGCAGCACTGCACTAACAGCCCGTGGGAAGCTGTGGATGCCAGCTTTGGAGCAGGCTGCAGGGAGCCTGCAGGCCCCAGAGCTTCCTCAAGTCCAGCCTGAGAAAGTAGCCTGGGAAGTTTTAAGGAGGAATCAAAACAATTCTTAGAGAAAACAACTGCCAGGTGCTGTTTTCCTGTCTCCTGTTGTCTTTGCAAGAGAAAGTCAGAGGGTGTTGTTCACCACTGACCAACGATGGTGATGTAGCAGTTTACTAACCAACAAGAGTTTCTTTTCTGTACTTTCCATGAACTGTGATAAATAGATTAATTAATTAAATGTGCATTCATAACATGAACCAGTCTATAAAACCAGGCTGAAGCAATAAACTAAGGATTTTCTCCTGTTCTGACTCCCTTGAGAGTCTGTGTCGTTCCTTTCACCCTTCCTAAGGGAACGACAGGCAGCGAGGGCTGCATTTCCAGGCCTGCTGAGGATCCCTCCCCTCCTGGAGCCCCAGCTGTGTCTGCCTGGTGCTCCCAGCTGCCAGAGGAGTCAGAGAGCAGGGTGGCCGTGGTGCCAGGCTGTCCCTCCCTGCCCAGGGCAGCCCAGCAGGGCTCACACACCTGATGAAGCTGGCGATGTAGACGTTGACGAAGGTGGCCATCAGGTACTGGCAGTCGAAGCGATCCATGATCCCCCCGTGGCCCGGGATGGTGTTGGCAAAGTCCTGTCAGAGCAGAGGGGTGGCACTGAGCCCTTCCCAGGATCTGTGCTCCCTTTGGTGCCCCCACCCCCTGCCCCAGCTCTGCCCAGAAGGCAAAGTCAGACCAAGGAAATAAATGTTTTGTTTGATGTCTCCCTGGTTCTGGAAGTTTCTCCTTTGTGAAGCTGCTGGGGCAGCGAGGCTCAACTCAGCTCTGCTCCTCAAAGGTCAGGGAAGGTAAATGTTTATCTGCTGCCACCCCTGCCTTGCCCTGCAAGGCATCTGAACTGAGCACAGGCTGTTTACACGTGAAACCAGCCTGCAAGACATCAAGGGAAACCTCAGATTGCAAAATTTCCTGCCTGGCTCTTCCTTCCTCTACCTGCACCACAGCAGGGTTTAGAGTATCACCCTTAAAATCTTAAGGTCTCTTCCCTTTCGGTCACAAAACCCAAAACGCTCCAGCATTTGATCTGTGACTGAACAAACCTCCCTTCCCAAGGAGCTCTCAGGTGGCACCACCCACTCTGTGCTTCCTCCCCAGAGCCTCCAAGACCTTCTCCATCCTCACCTTGATTTTGAAGGCCCTTTTGAAGCCGCTGGCAAAGAAGCCCCCGAAGGGCCCGATGAGGGAGGCGAAGGTGGAGAGGGCGATGCTGTGGATTTGGAAGGGGTACATCCGCACCGTTTTCTGCAGGAGAAACAGCACGGGAGGGTTTTCAGTGCCTGCCCCTCCTTCTCTGCCCCCTGGGCTCACATCCCACCAGGTTTGGGGTTAATTCCTTTGGGCTCCCCATCAACACCGCTGCACTGCCCCGTTTTTCGGGATGCACCTCTCGGGGCACAGCCCTGCTCTCTGCTGAGTGATGCTGCCCCGCTCAGAGCGAGCCAGGGACCAGGGAGGGTCGTACCCAGCCCAGCAGGGACTGCAGCAGCACGGGGATGTTGTACTCCTGCAGCTGGAACAGCTCCGAGGGCTCGCAGTCCACGGTGAAGCTGTTGGTGTCGTTGTTGAACTCCACGGGGCAGGTGAAGCAGCGGTACCCGGACATCACGTAGGACAGCTCCAGGAAAGAAAACAGGAATTGTGTTTTCCCTCAGGGATTTCTCCAGGGGAAAGGACGTGCAAGATGAGGGAAGCACAGCTTCATTAAGGAGATGACTCCCCTGAGCAGCAGGAGTTGGCTAAAGGCAGAGGAGGAGCGAGGCTGCTCCACCCTGAGGTGAGGGACAACAACAGAGCCACAGAGGGGGTGACAGGAGCAGAGCAAAACACTCCAGGAGTGTGGAATTTCTCCTGAAACGAGGCATGGCACCATCCAACAGCAGCAGAGGGACAATGGTTAATTACTTAATTACTGCAGTGAGCTCATCCCAGGGTCTAACAGGGATTAAAAACTTCCTCCAGCACTCGGCTCCATCAGCAGTGCCTGCACAGAGCCAGGCACTGCTGCACACCCCGGGCAGCACGGAAAGGTGACAGATCTGACAGAGACTGAGGCCTGGCTGCATTTTTTAAACAGAACACTGGGGCTCTACGAAGGGAAAACTCCAGTGGAGGAAGCTCCACTCACCAGCAATCCAAACAGAACGGTGGAGAAAAATCCTCCGATGAAACCCTCCCAGGTCTTCTTTGGGGAGAGCTGCCAGAGAGCAAAGGGGACAGTTATTGATAAATCTCTGCAGCCTTTCCCCACCTGTGAGGCCACACCAAGCGCTGCCACCGACCCACAGAGAGGAGCTGGGTCAGAAGCCGGCCCCAGCACCGCGGTTTGAAACGGTCGGACTCGATCGTCCAGCCTCAACCCTTCAATGATTTAATTCCACAGCCTCAAAGACTGGGATGCACAGCAGGTTTAATCTGAGGTTTGCTTCAGACCTGGGAGAGGCCTGGGGGAGACCCAGAGCTGACGTTTTATCCCCAGAAATGTGCCAAACCTTGATGAGCGGCGTGCGGCCGAAGAAGAAGCCGAACATGTAGGCCATGATGTCGTTGCAGATGACACAGGAGATGGGGACAATGAACCTGCAGGGGACAGGGGTCAGACATGGCCAACATCACTGCAAGGCTCAGCTGCCACCACCCCAACACCCCCTCCACCACCCCAACACCCCCTCCACCACCC